TACAATGGGTTTCATTCAAAGGCACCCCATGTTAACTGGACCTGTTTTTACCTTAGTTGCCCTATAGCAATCTACTTTAGCTACCTAAGTATCAGTAGGATAAACACATGCAGATTCAAGAAACCTGCTGTTTCAGCTTTACTTTAAGACTTGCAGTAACAGAGGGCACAGCACTTACTCTGTGCTTAACCCCTCGAACCTCTGCTTCCCTGCATGAGGGGAGAAGCCTTGCTTTGCAGGTTTGCTGGGTGCATTAAATGAGGTGTGTGACAGTTCTTTAAAATATGGAATGTTTATTGAAAATTTTTAAAGTTGGATGATTATCAGTCTGTGCCCTGTTCTGTGCTAGAAGAGCCCAAAAGGAGAAGTGGCCTTTGCCCCTGAGAAATGTGGTTGAGCGGGTAAGAACATTGAAGTGTAAGAGGACGAGGGGCTTCGGGGCAGACCTGCACATCAAGCAGGGGGAGGGCCCCCTTGGGCACAGATGAAGTGGATGGCACTGTCTAGGCTGCTGTGTACAGTGGTACATTCTGTGCCCTGAACAAAGGCACCTGGGCAAAGTGGCAGAAGAAGCTCGTATTAAATCCAGGGCCCTCCACTCACCATGCCACACAGAGAGGAAAGGGCATCCGTCATACAAGGGCACCTCCTCCCTCCAAGCATGCACCCACAAGGCAGCAGCTGCCCAGTGAGTGTCTCACATCTGCATGGAAGCCCCTGCAGGCTCCCAGGGCCTGTCTCTGCCGGCTAGGAACAGGGGTCAGCGGGGAGAATGGCCCGACAGGACTCCGACAGTGCTCACCAGGGACGGTGGGTTGGAGCTGCAGGGTGAGGCAAGCCCGGGGAGGGCCTTAGAAACTAGAATTAGCGCATCGGACAGAGACCTACTGTAAGGTCACACACCAGCACCGATCACCTCATTTACTTCTCACAACAACCGCGGGACAGAGGCATTATCCCAATCCACAGACGGGAAAACGGTTTGGAAGGCTGAGTTACCTGATAACGAACTTGGCAAGTAAGTAGCAAGAGCTGAAATTCAAACCCAGTTCTATTTGCCTCCCATGGTTCTTTTTACTGCGAAACTGACGTAACTGACGGAGGGAGGGATTCGGAGCCTTATCCCAAAAGTTATAAAAACTGCTATATGGCCCTTTACTATCTGTGACCCAGAGGCGCAAATTACATGTATTTTTAGTTTATTACTTGCTGGAGACTTCAGAAGTCTTCTGACTGGACCCTAAGGAGCACCACTGTTCAGGAAGGTTCCAGAAGCCCAGGCCCAGGCAGTAGGGGCAGCAGACAGAGCTGCAGTCAGGAGCCCCGGAGCCCTCCCCACCCAGACCAGGATGCGGCCCACGTGGAAACCCTTAACCTCTACGGGCTCCACTTTCTTCGTGGGCACATGAAAAGCTGGGCAATGCTTCCAACTCTACAGTGATGCTCTATGGCACTGTCTCTGAAAATACTTCCTGCTCTTTATTTTCTGATAAGCATATCAAGACTTTTTTTTTTACCCAAAGTCAAACCATCTTCCAGTGCCACATATTAGGCCCCTGTACACCCCCCCCCCCCCATGTCCCCTTCTCCCTGGTAACCACCATTCTGTTGTCCGTGTCTAGGCATTTCAATTTAATATTCCACGTATGAGTGAAATCATATGGTTCTTAGCCTTTTCGGACTAATTTCGTCAAGCCATTATTTTTGTACTTTGCAATTTATCTTGAATAAGCCTTTGAAACTCCTTGAACTGAAATCCTATTTCTCCTTCCCCTACTCAAACTGCACCTATGATTCAAAGTCCACCTCAAGTCTTATTTTTGCTATGAGCTTTTTCTGATACTCCTTTACTCTAAAAAGGTACCAGTCACATCCCTAAGATTCTTTTTGTGCTGCCAGTACAAATCCTCGATCCAGCATTCAATCAGACACGATGTCACCTGGGTCCCGCTCGAATTGACAGGCTGCCTCAAACGTCCTCCGTGTTGCCCACCCATTCAAGTTCCATCTGGTCAAAACCAACCAAAACGGCTCTCTGCCCCCACAGTCTTCCTACCCCTTCCCACAAAAATCAGTCGCATGTTCATCTCCATTCACAATAATCAAGTTATTGCAAATGAATGACTCAGGGCCGTTGATGGAGACGCACAGGTACTGTTTCCAAAGCGCTATGGTACTAGCACATGCTGAGGCAATGACGGAGAACTCGACGGAATGTGATATTCCTACCAGGCTAAGAAACCATTTCTCTAACCAAAGGCCTCTTGCCAATCATTCTTGGGGTCATTCTTGAATACAAAGGTGTTCAGGATGAGGCATTTTTGCTGGGATGTGTAGTCTATTTTCACAAGTGAGAGACATTGAATCCTCTGTTTAATTCCAAAGGGCCTACAGAATTTCAAGAACAGCTAAGAGATATCACACAAAGGAAAGAAAATGGCTCAGACCAGGGTTTAAGGTGACTTGGATTCATTTTTTGAAGGCGCTGCATGAATCCTGAGATGGTCTAGCAAGCGTTCAAGGCTTCATTTATCATTCTTCAACAGAGCTGACGGAAGTAATCCACCTTTGAAACTGGCACACCAATTTCTTATAGAAGAATGTAGATAGGGTCTACTATATAGCAAGCAGGTTATTTTTTTTAAATTCTCACCCAAGGATATTTTTAAATTGATTTTTAGAGAGAGAGAGAGAGAAACATTGATCAGCTGCCTCCCGTATGTGCCCCGAACAAGGATCAAACCCACAACCTAGGTACGTGCCCTGATGGGAATTGAACCCCCAACCTTTTTGGTGTCGAGTACCATGCTCCAACCAACTGAGCCACCCGGCCAGGGCCTTCAAGCAGTTTTAAGTGTGCATTATGAAAGCGGCTGCAGATGAATCTTTTCTTTGGCAGAATTAGGCAGAAAACAACACAGATATTTAACCACTTTACACCAGTCACTCATTAACTCCACCACTGCTCCGACCACACCCCGTTTAGTGGAATTCTCAAAAATTCCTTGTGATGAATTCATGTGTGGGTATCTGCCACACCCTGGACGGCGTTTAGCTTCCATGTCTCCCCTCTCCAGAGGGGAGCCACCGAGGAGACCAGGGCACAAGCACCCAGCCTTTGCTGCCAGTAGGCCCTGCGCCCCCTAGGATCCGAGACAGATGCCACACTAGTCAGGGGGAAGTGAAAGATCTGCTTCCCTCCCACGCAGGTGATTAGTTTGGTGAAGGCCGGACACCAGTGGCTGGCTAGTGTTATATTCCACACCTGCCCCAACCCGTTATCACAGGTACTTTTTTTTTTAAATCCTTACCCTAAGATATTTTTCCATTTATCTTCAGATAGAGTGTGAGGGGGGCGAGATGGTGGGAGAGGGAAACATCAATGTGAGAGAGAGACATAGATTGGTTGCTTCCTGCACGACCCCGACCAGGGCAGGGGACCAAACCGCAACTGAGGTACGTGCCCTTGATCAGAATCGAACCCGAGACTCTTCGGTCCCTGGGCTGATGCTCTAACCGCTGAGCCACACCGGCCAGGGCATCACAGTACTTCTAACACATCACTGCACTCTTTCCTCCCGAGCCCAAAGGCAGCCTCTGAGCGTCACCACAGAGCTCCAAGGCCCATTCGCAGATGACCCGGTGGTCACAGGAGACGCAATCGTTGGGCCACCCCCTGTATTTTAGCCCCAGGCCATCCCTGTGGATGGATGTCCCTGAGGCAGTTCACAAACCATGCAGGTCTGGCTGTGATTTGGAACACACCTCACTTCTGCTGCCTCTCTCACCTCTGGAGACCATACTTTGGGCCTGTCCACAGAAGCCCTGCCCAGCATCTGCCTGGTTGTATCCCACCCCTGCAGGTGGGTTTCAAGCACAGGCCCTCACCTCTGCCTACCCATCCAAATGCAAACAAACGCCCCTGGGCCCGGAACACCTAACAGCACAGCTGAAGCCTCCACTGCGTGGCACGGACAACTGGGTTCCCCAGCCACACAGAGACAGATCTGGTCATCACACGAGCTGCCTCTGATGTTTCATTTAAACTCCAGGCATAAACTAAAAGTACAAGCAACACCTTTTACTGGTCCTGAAACTTCATTTACAGGACCTTAATCACTATTCTAAATGACCAGCTTTTAACCAGTATATATAGCAAAGACTTTCCACAGTAGAAGAAAAATACATCAGTTTAAATTAAATCTACTGCTAACAGGTCTACATTTCCTGCTTTGTTCAATGACTAATTGAATGCCGGCCTGCTTTCAAAGAAGTGTCTGGCTCGCTCTGGCTTGCTGCATGAACAGCCCGGTTTCATACTGCTCGCATTATTGAAAATGTTTATTTTGACAGACATTTCTCAGCATACCTGCTTCCAAAAAACACATTCCCAAATACTTTAAATTATATAGTAATTATAAATCCCCTACTTTCTAAATATTAGAAAGACAAACTAAAATGTCAACAACTAAAATGAGCTCCATAATTTATGCAGAACCAGAAGCACAGAAGTGGAGGGGAACAGAGAGCTCTCCCAACAAGCCTCATCGAAAACCAGGACCATTTAAAACTCACAAATACTGAAATACCGATAACATTTACCACACACACTACTATTCAGCTTTTGTGTTTGGTTAATCCTCACCTGAGGACATTTTTCCCATTGATTTTTAGAGAGAGTGGAAGGGAGAAGGAGGCAGGGGTTGAGAGGGAGAGAAACATTGATGTGAGAGAGACACGTGGATTAGTGTCTCCCACACGTGCTCTGACCAGAACCAGGGATCGAACCCATGACCCTTCAGTGTGTGGGCCGAAGCTATCACCATTGAGCCACACCAGCCAGGGGCAGCTATTTTTCCTTTAATCACAAGAACACATGTTACTATGGCTCTCAATTCCACAAGAAACCTATGTCATTTCAGATGAAGTCCAAAGCCACCATTTTATCAGGCTCCAAAAACCAAATAATGAGAGAATTATAAACTTTCAAAGGGCCTTACCTGGTGCAGGCTGTCGTTCGTTCCATTCCGTTGAGATTAAAATTTCTATGACTTTTATGAGGTGTTCAGTATTGTCAGAGCTACAAAAAAGAGAGTTCTATTAGAAACCTCCTCTCTAAACAACAAACCCCTTTCCATGTACATCCACTCCAGCGCACACGTGCACATGCGTCTGGGTGCTAGTACCTGTACAAGTGTACAGACCAATCCACCGGGCCCACCCGCCTCACCCAAGCACACGTTTCTCTTCTTTCACCTACCTGGCTGCTGGGAACCTGAAAAGCAGAGGGCTGAAGAGTTCAGAGAGCACTCTGGCAGTCAGAAGATTTTTGCTGCAGCTTTGGGAGAGCTTGAAGAAATGTTTGAGCAAGTACTGAAGCGTAAGCCAATATTGATGAGGTACGTTAGGTGACCTAACGAGCTTCTTCAGCAGCTGGATGTACTCTTCAGAGCTTTGTACTTCTACAAGTTAAAAAAAAAAAAAGGAAATGAAAAAAGAATAAAAGAAACTGTTTCTAGGTATCCGTGAAAAAACACCCAGAAAATGTCTGTCCTTCTGGCTACAGAAGGAGTCACTTAAAGCGAAGTCATCAGAAGACGCAGACAGTCCATTTGTTCCTCTCATTAGAAAAGGCATTGTGAGAAAGTAGAACTCTCAAGTCAAATGGAAATGCAAGCAACTCTGGGTATTAACAAAACCACAACAGGTTCAGGGTGTGCTGGCAGAAATCTGCCCTCTAGTGAGCAGCTGCAAGTGTGATTGGCTAATTTGGAGCATCAGATAAGTATCACAAGTTTTAACTTTGAAGGTTACAACCACAATTTCCTGTCCCCAAAGCACTTTAAACAGAGCATTAGCTCCAAAAACTGAGAGCCCTCTTCCCTCAACACTTGTGTAATGGCCACTTGAAGAAGATGATAAGAACATCCCCAGTCACTGGGTCCTCGTCCCGGTTCCCTGAACACAGTGATGGTACTTGGATCACTGTGGCCTTCACAGGTACAATGAAGGTAGTGAATATTGATATAGGTTAACAATTAGCCATTTCATCATGTGGACAGTCTAAAAAGCAAATGAGAATCTGGTTTCTCTACTGCAGTGGTTCTCAACCTTCCTAGTGCCGTGACCCTTCAATACAGTTCCTCATGTTGTGGTGACTCCCAACCATAAAATTATTTTTGTTGCTACTTCATAACTAATTTTGCTACTGTTATCTGTTAGGCAATCCCTGTGAAGGGTTGTTCGACCCCCAAAGGGGTCGCAACCCACAGGTTGAGAACTGCTGCTCTATTGGATGCTAATGGAGGGAAGCTGTGCTGATGGGAGTGGGGGTGGGGGAGTCACGGGTGGGGGCTGGTGGGGGTAGGAGGAAAGATTCCTACTAATATTTTCTAAAAATTATCTCTTCATATGCAGACCTCACAAGCACATCCACATGTCAGTATCTGTTCAATGAGGTTCTCAAAGAGCAAACAAACCTTGGGCTAACGAAATCATTTCATTGTAAACAGCTGCTGGAATGACAGGATTTGGTAGGTCCAAGAGATAGCGTTTGAAAGCGTCTGCTAAAACTTGAACATCAACTGTTTCCAAGTCCACAGGGGCGGCATCTGTGATAAAACAGGAAAAGAAATATCTGACATTTTATGCATTGGTACGGCCCATCTTCTGAGTGTCTGCCTTAAATGTGACACAGGAAAGGAAGCAACAAGGACCAGTGAGTTCCTCACAGGGGCTGCTCCTGGCATTTCAAACAGAACAATTTTCCTTTGCGTAGGTCTGTCCCCAGCACAGTGAAGCCCTTGCCGATGATGCCAGGAGCATATTCCCATGCTCTGGGGCAGCAAAAAATTATTCTGCGTCACCATTCATAACTCTCAGTACACCTCAGAATGTGACTATATGTGGAGATAAGGCCTTTAAAAAGGTCTTAAGTTAAAATGAGGCCATTAAGGGTGAGCCCTATTCCAGATTGACTGTGTCCTTTAAGAAAGGAAAATTTAGACACACAAAAAGGCACCAGGGGCCTTGCCAGTGTGGCTTAGTGGTTGAGCATTGACCTACGCACCAAGAGGTCACCGGTTTGATTCCTGGTCAGGACACATGCCCAGGTTGTGGGCTCAATCCCCAGTGTGGGGGGGTGGGCATGCAGGAGGTGGCCAGTTGATGTTCTCTGTCATCAATGTTTCTCTCCCCCCCCTCTCTAAAAGCAATAAAGGGGGGCACCCGGGGTGCACACACAGAGGAATTGCCACGTGAGGACACAGCGAGAAGGTAGCCTTTGCTGTAAGGCAGGGAGAGGGTTCTCAGAAGAAACCAAACCTGCCTTGATCTGGAAATTCTAGCCTCAAGAACTGTGAAAAAATAGGCTTCTATTTTTTTGGTCTGTGAAATTTTATTTATGGCACCCCTAACAAACTAATGTAGTCCCCAAAACATTTCCAAATACCTTCTGAAGGGTGGTTTTGCCCTGGTAGAAATGGGTTCCGCCTTGGGATGGCTAATTATATAGTAAATGCTTCCTAAAACCTCCACAGGAGAGCATAAAATGCAACTCCATAGATTTCCTAAAATTGAGTTGCAAAATATGGCATCTCAGGATTAATATAAATTTAACTCAACAGAGTGATCAATTAAGACAGTAAGATATTACAGAATTTTAGCAATCTCAAGAATATCCATAAAAATAACTTGAGCAGCCCAGCTAGTGTGGCTCGGTGGTTGAGCAGCATCCCATGCACCAGGAGGTCACTGGTGGGACTCCTGGTCAGGGCCAGGTTGCAGGCTCCATCCTCAGTATGGGGCGTGTGGAAGGCAGCCGACTGATGTTTCTCTCTCTCATTGATGTTTCTATCTCCCTCTCCCTTCCTCTCTCTGAAATCAATAAAAACACATGAATAACTTGAGCATCTTTAGAACATTTCCCCGCAATTCTGACAGGTACCGTGATTAGGGCATTACTAACCTAACCAGCGAGCTCTGAACTGTCTCAGAAGAACAGAAAGGTAAGTACATCTGTCCAGCAAATCCTTCAGCTGGAAAAGGTCAGGCAACTCAATAATGGGGATACAAATCAGAGTCACTTCTGAGTGCTTGAGAAACAGGCACAGTGCCCAGCAGAAAGAAGGGACACAGGGGACAGGAATGACCATGAGAAACAACAGGCTTTGGCGGGCTGCTGAAGAATACACACTCGTGACATGAAGAGTAACTTGAAGAGACTCACAGGAGGAAAGTGAGCTGATGAGCAAAATGCTACATGTTTAAACAGGTTTATTAACTGTGGTGTTAAAAATGAGTTGGGCCTTGGCCAGTGTGGCACAGTGGTTAGAGTGTTGGCCCATGCACTGAAGGGTCAGGGGTTCAATTCCCGGTCAAGGAAATTGTACCTGGACTGCAGGTTCACTCCCTGGTCCTGGTAGGGAAGCATGAGGGAGGCAATCAGTTGACGTGTCTCTTACATGGATGTCTCTCTCCCCTACCCCTTCCACTCTCAAAAAAAAAAAAAATCAATGAAAAAAATATCTTTGGGTGAGGATTAACAAGAAATAAATTGGAAAGCAGAACTGTTGGAAGTGAAGTTAACACTTTGCTCATTTAAATTCTAATACATCTAGAAATGTGTGAGACATTATCAAGGACTACCGTGAGGTGGTGACTGACTGGATGAGGCCGGAGCCGGGGAGAGAATGAGAAAGAATCCGTTTCCTCCCAAGTGCCTGAGCACAGGCAGCAGAAGGGGGGTTCTGGGTACCGGGTACTGTGAACCAAGTGTGACAGTATAAATCACTCCAGGCAGAGCCGGAAGCTACAGATGTTCCTTGGACACACCCTAATCATAATCCAAACTTGCCCAACTAACTAGATAATCACACAACACCATAAAGCTCAGAAAGGTTCGTCTCAGAGAAAATATTGACAGGTTAGTTTGGCTAAAAGAATTATAACACTTAAAAGGTAGAGTCAGCCCTGGCCGGTTTGGCTCAGCGTTTAGAGCGTCGGCCTGCGGTCCAGAGAGACCCGGGTTCGGTTCCCGCTAAGGGCACGTACCTCGGTTGCAGTTTGTCCCCGGCCCTGGTTGGTCGTGCGGGTGGCAGCCACTTGATGTGTCCCTTTCACATCGATGTTTCTCTCTCTCTCTCTGTTCCTCTCTCTCCCTCCCACTCTACCTGAACAAAAAATGGAAAAATGTCCTCGGGTGAGGATAAAAAAAAAATAAAAAAAATAAAAAAAAAGGTAGAGTCAAAGGGCTAAATCATTTAAATGTCCTACAAGAAACTAACGAGAGACCCATCACACTTCCAAACAAGCCTGGGAAAGGCGGTAACAGGTCTTTGCATAAAGGATCCACCCACCTCGAAAGTAATGCAGCTACTTACTAGCAGACTGTCAAACAAACTTGTGTGCAGATCACTATGGGAACGTTCTATAGCCACGGACTATTGGGCAAGCTCCTGCCCAACCCCTCATACTCCACCCCACATGCTTCACTCACTATGTCTCTTTGCCAGCAAATTAATATTACTGAATTTGTTCATCCTAAAACATGTGATAAACATTGGGCGATGTGGTATAAACAGTAAGACACTGAAGAGTCCACATGTCCCTCCACCAGGCAGGGTTTCTGCAAGAGCAGTGCCGGTGAGCGTATCTGTCATGCCAACGATGTGTCTCCCTACAGACAGAGCACCTCAAGGGCATGGACTGCGGCTCCTCCCTGCTCCCCTTGCTTCCCCTGGTGCCCAGCGCAGCACACGGAATGTGCCTGCTCAGTGTCTGCGGACTGAACTATAAAACGTCCTGAGAGTAGGGCTTCGGTGAATCAGCATTACTCCGGTACACGAGGGAATCCAAATGAGCCTTACGGTCTAAATGAAATAGCTGTATTGCAAGTCTATGGGTAAGTCTCTGGAAGGTCCTTCTTGCATCAACTCACCTTATGTCAAATTCCACTACAGTTCATGACATACTATGTTCTATTTTTTTTGTTAATGTAACTTTTAAAGCTTTCTGGAGTTTCTGACTCCTGTCCTATGTTTCCCTTTTTACATTGAAGCTCTTCCAAAGGCAATTCATGACTTTCGAAGCTGGCTAGGTGACAGCTGTACAGTCTGTAGGTCTGGGTGGGGGAGTTTCCAGCCCCTTCCACCCCACTGCTCACCGAGTCTCCTTGTGATAGGTAACCAGTAAACTCTGCAACACTGCATTCCTCCGCACCTGATCTCTGAGTTAGTGGTTCCCAATTCTGCTGCACCACCTGACCCCCTCCAGTCATTTGGCAATGTCTGGAGACATTTTTTTTGTCACAACTGGGGACGATGGCATCTAGTGGGCAGAGCCCAGGGATGCTGCTCTTCGTCCTATCTTGCACAGACAGCCCCTACAACAAAGAACTGTCCATCCTAAAACGTCAGTGGTGCTGAAGTTGAAAAGGCCTGATTTTTAAATACTGGGATACTATGTTAGTTTCAGGTGAACAGTGAAGTGATTTGTATTTTTATATATTGTGAAATGATCACCACAGTAAGAATAGGTAACAAAAATTTTTTTGATGAGAACTTTTAAAAGAAAAAGCCTGATTCAGGGAAAGGAAAACCAAAATAGTCAGGAAAAATTTCACACCATTAAAATTCAAATAAGACAAGAACAAAAAAAATCACTTTAGGACAATGTAGTGGGTGGGGGGGCATAAGGACTTTTGCAGTCAGAACAATTTGGGTGCAAGTCTGAGCTCTGCATCAGCAATAACTACTACTTCTACCGCAAGGTTCAAGTGTGGAGGAAATAAAAGAACTTAGCAGGTGGTAATAAAAATGGTTTCCTGTCTGTCCTGTTCAGACACTGGCAATTCACAGGGTTAGTTAAAAAGATCCATTTCTTTGTTGTTGTTTTTCAGTGTAAGTGACATATCTCTGAGCTTCCTCCAGGACACTAAAATATTTTTATGAACTGAAAAATCTTAAAGCTGGAAAGAGCCCTGGAGGATCAACTCCTAAATTTAGATAATGTTTACTTTTTTTTTTTTTTTTGGCCACATAATTCACTTTTATAGTACAAAATTCGAATGAAAACAGTGTTCTACATATGTGTTTTGATGTCAAACAGGGACAGAAATATGTCAAAATATATTGTTGATGTGCATTTTGGTTATTTATTCCATCTCACAAGTGGTGTGAGGGCGTTTTGTGTTTTTAAGCCAAACTGCATCATTTGTGTCTGGTCACATTTAAAAACTCAACCACAATTTCTCAAATAACTTTCATTTCATTGGTCTCTGATGTCTAAACATTTCCTGTGACTTTTAACACATTCAATTCCACTGATTTTCTGACCAAAACATGCATCACTATTTCAACTGGCTCAGGACAAAATTCAGTGTTTCCTTGACAAAGAAAAACAGGTTTTTCACCTAGAGTTTTGTGCTACTCGGCTTCGAATGCCCCCTCGGTGGGTACGACAGCAGCAAAGAGCACAGACAGACCTGCACAAGCGGGAGACCCATTTCCATGTGCAGAGGAAAACAAAGAAGTTAGAAAGTGTTTTTCTTAGCTTCAAACATTTGGGTGGTGCATTTCAAATGAAACTATTTACTGATAAAGATCTCATCTCCTTTTTGTCCCCCAGAAACATCTTTTCTAAAAACGTTCATAAGCTGCCTCATTTTGAAGCCGCCACACACTTCAAATGCTCACTTCCTAACGATCGATCGTGGGGGCATTCTCTGCACGCGTCTGAAAGAGCTTCTTCCGAACTGGGTTTCACTCTTCTTCATTCACACATTCAATTTGGATTAACGTGAGGAGGAAAATTATTTTTCTAAAAAAGAAAAGTGTTGGAAGGAAATGAAGGATCTGAGAGATTCCAGAAGTTGATATAAAAGATGACTTGTTGGAATGAAGGCAAGTACATGTATTCACATTTGTACAGTTTTATTCTGTATGGCAGAGGGAAGAGACAAATAACAGAACCACTACTTGGTTGAATGAATTGATGTCATTTGACAAATCCTGTGTAGGAGCTGGGGTGCACCCATTCACAGGGGCTACTGTAACCGTGCTCAATTCTGCCCGATAAGATGAGAGCTTGAAGCTGATCGTGGTGAGGATATTGACACCACAGAAATGGGCAAATGCAACAAACCAGAGCTTTCTTCCCCTCACAGAGTTGGTTTAACAGTACACCATGGACTATAACAACATCATGATATTACTTATATAAATATGGTATGAAAAAGCAAACAAACAAGAACGGAAGGAAGGCTGAAAGAAAGGAAAGGGAATGGAAAAGGAAAAAAAAAGGAAAAAGAGAGGGGAAGGGAAAGGGGGAAAAGGTCAGAAGAAACATTTGTTAAATAACACAGACTTACAAATATTTTTAAAACTGATCCAGATGAATTAGATGTAGCCAATTGCAGGGTCAGAGAAAGATGGTAGACATGTACAGCCAGATAAATCCCCAGAGGTGGCTTCTCTCCTCTGAAGTCCAGCAGGACTCAGAGGCTCTTGGCTGTGATGGCGGCCAACATGTCTACAGGCAGGCGTGCACACACCCCCCGGCACGGGAGACACACATCAAAGGTCTGCACTGTTACCATAATAGGGCAGAGGCAACTATACTTGATTTCTGGGCTCCCTTCAAACTCACAACATTGCATGGTTAAGTTCAAGTGTTTTGTGCTGTACCCGAAACAGAAAGGTAAGAACTATCCTTGCCATTTGTATCTGCAGCTCCGTGGCACTCACCACAGTCAAGAAGCTGTCGTAATTCTGCTGGGTTGCTGGAGCTCTGTGTTCTGTATAGAGTTGAACATTCCAGACCTAGGACACAAAACAGAGTGAGCATGCAGAGCAGCTCTCTGGAGAACCTGTGAGCCGGCTGCCAGAATGCATTCCTTTCCATCCAGGATCTGTTCTAGAAGTTACCAAACGTTCTCGGAAGTCCACTCCTACTGTTAATCTCATCTGGCATGTCAATAATTTTGGCAAAATCTGTCCACTAAGGAGAAAGTTAATAATATTTATAAAATTATGGAGAACTTAATAGTTTCCATACAGGAGTAACTACATGTTACTATGGAGTCAGAAATCAGACCAAGATTATGTCTCCAGCACACAGCAACACCTTGTTTGCATGTCTAGCACCGGATTTAATGAATGCCCAAGAGATAAACGTAATTCATAACACCCACGAAACAATAATAACACATTAACGGATTCCCTCTACCCATTGGATTACCTTTCTTTTCAATGGCTTCTACTAGTTTGATAAGAAGAGGCGGAGCGATGTCAGGAGGGGCAAACTGTTCTGCAAGATCCGGAAGAGTCAAAGCTGCAAATAAACAAAATCCTACGGTTATGTTTAATTTGGGGCAATCAAATGACAATGAAGAAAATTTAATTACAAAATAATTTAGTTCTATCTGACAGCTGCAAACTCAGGCCCAAGCAAGAGGGAGGCCTGTGCTGGGCCCTGTACTTTACAGGAGGCTCCTCTCTGGACCTCCTCCAGCTGTGCCTCTTTCTAGTGCCGAGTTCTGGGGGCAAAGCGACACAGCCTTCTCTCCTAGGACACACTGAGAATACTTACCCGGAACCCCCAAATTCCTATCCCCGATGGCTTCTCATGGCCTCTTCCCCAGGCCCATCCTCCCCACGGAAGGCCTCCCTGCGGGGTGGCCTGAGGAGCTCAAGATGGAACGGAGTTGGGATGTGCAAGGCCCTTGAAGAGCCACGCTCTGGGCAGAACTTGGAGCTCAAGAAATTAAATTCGAATGTGGCCGCTTGGTCGTTACAAAGAAATAACTGTCCAGGCAGGATAGAACAGATTTTATCACAGTTTGTCAATGTGATTTATAACCTGAAAATATTCAGACACAGGGTACGTGGGACTCCCTTTGTCCTCCTGTCCAAAGCCCTCCAAATGTCAGGGATGGGCCAATATCAGATCTGGAAGCCAATACACGTGACCACGGGCCACTTGCCAATCAAGTTAAGCAAGTCCCCATGTACCTGTGTTGAAACCTTTACTTGCTTACATTATTTTGGTCAGTCATTTTGTGATGCTTTCATGAACTGATTTTTCCATGCTCTATTTATGTTTTACTAATTATAATGATACAAAAGAAAAAAATCTAACTGGATGACACAAATGTCCTTCAACATTACATTGATAACTGTATTCTCTCTCTACAAACATATGAAAGCATTTTAAATTAAAAAATATTTTCTCATAATAAACCAGAAGAGGGAGCTAAATATATTCACTTTAGATTTCTCAAACTGCAACATATAAGTAAAATGATAGTCTTTTTTAAAAAAATCTTTATTGTTGAAACTATTATAGATGTTCCCTCTTTTTCCCCCACTGACACCTTCCTCCCGATTCCCACCACCTCCTGCTAAAATGATAATCTTTATGAAAAGATGTACATGTGCAACCTGCTTATTAGCCACCGATTAATAACTTTTCAGACACTTGAGGTTCATCACTGTGTACTCTTATCTAGGAATAGTTTATATAATCTAAGAAAGATCAAATATTTACAATTTTGTTTCAATGAGATTGTAGGCATGTGATTATTATAAACCATGTATCATGTTAAGCAGATTTCTAATGAGGGTCCTCTTTCTAATACTATGAGTCCGCACAAAACAACAGATTTACTATACAAAAATAAAATAAAATTATGTTATTAGATTTTGACTTCAGAGAATAAATGACCTTATATCATTTTGCAAACCCTATGGCCTAAGACCCTTTTAGATCACAATATGTCCTGTGATAGACAACATGTGATCTTGCCATCCTATTAGCCACTGCAACTACCTAGGGTAACAGAAGAGCTAAATTATGGAAGAAAATCCCGCAGCAGCGCCATCTAGTAGAACCTCTGTAATGGTGGAAATGTTCTAAGAGCTATGTTATTCAATAAAGCAGCGACTAACCACCTGCAGCTACTGCGTACTTAAAATGTAGCTGTTGGGCTGAGAAGCTGAATTTTGAATTTTTATTGATTTAAGTTAAAATAGCTGGATGTGACTAGTGACCACAGTATTGGGGAGCACAGTCCTAGAGGCTGAGCAAGGGCAAATTCTGTCAATAGCAGATGAAAGATTTTTGAGTTGACTCCGTGCTACAGAGACCCCATTATAAAGCTATCCCTGAAGACAGGGTGTCCGGACAGAGGGCTGATTGACATCTGAACTCTGGGCATGCACAGTTTATCACTCAGTTTCCTGGGTGACTTTGTGCTACTGTAACATCGTTGGAAAACATTTTGGACTTCATAAAGGTGGGATAGATATGTCACTATGCTGACAGCTGAGTGGGAATTTTATCTCTCCTGTGTTTCCTTTACCTGATTGAGCCTATGGGTCACCTGGAAAATTCGCCAGGAAATCAGAGTACTGCCATAGCCCCCTGGAACTGAAATATCCAGGAATGGAGCTAGTAATCTGTTTTGGATTAGTAGTAAGTCTTAGGATGTGCTATTATGATATGCAAGTTATGTAAGTGACTCCCTGAAAAAATCCAGCAATCCATCCCCCAAATCTCTAAATGTTAAAACGTGAGTATATTTGAAAAGCACTTAAAATACAAATGTCTTGAAAGTTTCATATAAACTTTTTAATTTAAAACATTGTAAAATTTAAAAAGAAATACTATAAACTGAAAGAGCACACCATTTCATTTCCTCTGATTAACTATAAACTACTTCCTCTTGCCTTCTAAGAGTATCAGCTCACAAAACTATCCTCCCCCGTAAATGCTTTCTCCACTGAACAAAAGGAAATATCATCCTATCAGCGTATGTAACAGAAGAAAAACACAAAGGCAGATAAATGATGTACAAAAATGTTATTAATTAGGATTTACTGCAGTGAATTCTCTTCTTAGCCCTCTCAGACTTACAGGTCTTAGCACATGCCAAGGTGCAGCCAGCTAAGATTAAATCGTAAATACACTACACACGAACCCTCATATCCATCCAACACTCATCCAATTAACATGCCCCATTCCACTCTCTTTTCACTCATAAATTACACAAGCATTATGTTTTTTAAATTAAAAAACAAATCTTTAAAGCTGGCAACTGAAATTGGAATTACTTAATAAAGGTTTATCTCCTTCCAGAATCCTTTCAAAACAATAATTTCTGTAGGCAAATATTAAAGTTAAATTAAATGTTAAAGATTTGACCTAACTGTGATTGGACTATCTACCCAATAGTTGTTATATTACCGGGTTGGCAAACACAAAAAAAGGGTTTTATCTTTCTATTTCTTCACTTCGACTTGAAGGGGGGGGGGGGGGGGGGCGGGCAAAATCTTTCTTTAGTTCTTTCGATGTTTCTTTGGCAAAAAAAATATGGTAGTTTACTTTTAGCATCCTGAGTTACAAAATATCATGTGTTTCACTCATACAAGTGTTACATGAAGTTTCTGAAAAGCACTCTGATAGCTATCAGTTATCTGGAGCTGTTCTCAGCAACTGCAAAAAGAAACGAGATGTATATGGTAGGAAGTACAGGTAATATACTGAATTTCCCACTGAATTTTAATACTGAAAAAAGCTTTTTTACATAAATGTATGCATCATCACAGCTGATCCAGGTTTTGCAATGGGAGTTTCAAAAAGTAAAATTTTACGGGAGACAATTTTTGAGAGTAACAATGCAAGGATTTCCTATTCTCTAGTACAATATCTGTGATTCAATCCACTTCCCCTTTAAAACATTTTAAACATAGGGAATGTGGAAGCCCTACCCAGAAACCTTTAAAGTTCACATCTTTTACTTCAAGCAAAAGGGTCAATTAACATCAAAAATCTAAAAAGGATTTTAAAGCAAAATATTAATCATTTCAACAATCCTAAAATCAACTATTCCTTTAATTATTTTAAACATGCAAGGTCAATATTTACTTTTCCATGAGATCTCATTTTAAGAAATTCCAACAGGAAATGACAAGTGCTAGGAATCACCAAATTTGGTAAGTTGTTCTTTTAAAAGTCCATGATAAAGCCCCACATCGTAAAGTTCAATAAGCCAAAAAACAAACAAACAAACAAAAAAAAAACCTAAAAAAACTGTATGGATCATTTATGGTGGCTATCAAACAAAACAGAAATTAGCATGATCCCCATAAAGTTTGCATATACATTCTCGTTAGATTTCATATTCCAGACAGATTTCTATCCCTGCATGAGGAATGGTTTTTGGCTGGGAATCCTGTGGTAGCCACAGTGTATAAGTCTGGAGAGTCATGTCCACTCTTAAGAATCTGGCAAATGGAGATTCTTAGCTGGACCATTTTTCCATCAGAAGATATCAGTGCTACTTAAGGAGATAGGAGACAAAAAAGAAAAGCAGAAGGGTCTAAAAGTGGTGAAGCCCAGACGTATTGTTTCATAAGAAAAGAGGAATCAGTCTTCACCATTGAACTAGGTGCCCCAAGTTGTAGAAAGAATTTTTGATGACACATCAGATTCTGCACTTTCCACCAGTTCTATTTTCCCCACTTTGCCCTGGTGACAACCAATCACGTAGAACAGAAGAGAGCCTCCTCTCCAAACTCAGGCCCTTCCCAAACCACTAACATGGACAGGCCTGAACAGTCCTTGGGCACCAATGGTGTGTGGGAGACAGTGGCATTCCTTGCATTACACGGTGCCAACACCGCTACAAAGTGCAAGATGAAACCAGCACACAGCCGCACCTTTTGGAGGCGTTCTCCATAAAAAAAGATATTTTAGACTTAGTGCCTGGCAGGGACAAATGGAAAGTTTAAGCTGAAATTCTGGGACTCCAGAGACTGCCCACGCCAAGTATTTCATTACTGATGAAAGCAGCTTGGAAGTACATGAAAAACTGCCACTTACCTTTTAAAATCTAATACAAATACGCAGAGGAGAAAGTGTATATGCTACGTGTGGCTCAATATTAAATCAAGATGTTTGCCTAATCACTGTTGCTGAATCAAAACTCGATTTTTGTCTGAAACAATCTCTCTCATTATTTCAAATAAAAAAAATGTACATTCTGGTGGGCAAGAATCTAACAAGTCCCAACACTTTCCTTAAAAGAACTTTATAAGCACGTTCACACGTTATACCTATAATGGTTAATACCATGAACCTTTAAACTTCTTAAGCTCTATGGGCAAAGCCGTAACAAATGCAGGCTATAAGACACTGCAGCTAAAAAAAAATTAAGCGAAGCAAAAGAACAAACAAACCAACCAAAAAAAAACCAAAAAAGACCACACAATTAATTCCTTAATTTTTGAGCACATCTGTTTAATCAGCAGTAGAGAAATAATTAAAAGCACAGATTTAAAGCCAAAGAGACCTGGGTTTTAGTTCTGGTTTTGTCGGTTCCTGAGTATAATCTTGAGCATGTTAATTACCTTGAAGCTCAGTTTCTTCATCTGTAAAATGGGAATAATTATTAGTGTAATAATGATTGAATGAATAATATAAATCAACATGGCAGGCATAGTGCCCAGTATGTAGAAAGCACAAACTAATTGGTAGCTATGATTAATTGAGCAATATTTATGTAATCTTTTTCAATATTAATAGATTTTTAAGATACCTAATTGCAATGGCACATTTTAAAACCAGAAAATATTATTATTAAGACAGAAAGAATTCTCGATACTTTTTAAAGGTGGCAAACCGGAAGCATATTTGAGAGGGCAGACACCTGCATTCTGATTTTAATTCAATGCATAAACATATTCAAATCTTTTCAAAAGTCATATTTAAAATATCACATTATTTTCAACACATTGCACTTTTTCCCTATAAGGACTACTATACTAACCTATTTAAATTATTACAGTTCACTTTTCCAAATGTAAGAAAAAATAAAGTTGGAATGATAATAAACTTAGTGAAAATGAGTTTTTGGGGGGTGGGTGGGGGGAAATGTGAGCAACTAAAAGTAGGAGGAAAAAGAGTAGATGTGAAAAGAAATCTTCAGCCATAACTGCATTATTTCCAGAGATAACTAGTCCAAGGAATTAAAAGAGCTGTCAACAGATTTAAACACGAAGTTTGCAAATCTTTTCAGATACCCTAAACTAATTAGCCTTCAATATCTTTAAGTTTCTCCTCTCCTACTTATCTCTTCTGCTCCACAGCTTAAAAACAAATGAAGGGAATCTGAGATCCTCCACCCCATTTAGTTTTATTTCCAGACAACAGACTAGTATAGAAACAAACAGCTGGCCAAGAGCTTATTAAACATAAGCAGACATTACAGCTTCGCTTCTGATGGCCTCAGTTAAAGCCTCAGAGTTAGGAGATAAGTGAAATGCAAGATTACTTAATCTTCGACAGGCTAGACTAATTAATTGTGATTCTTATCATCTAAATTGGAGTCTGATTGAAAAGATTACCATTTACAGTGCATAGCAAATTAAAATGCTGGGCAGGAGGTAAATGGGGAAGAAAGGGACTGCCCCCCTATCCCCACCAGGAAAATAATTTACGGTTGAGTCTGTGGGATTTAGGAGGTTAAAGATTTATAAGGGAAGTTGGTCTTTTGGTCTGTCGGCTTAGAAGTATTCCACAGGAAGTGTGACTAAGAGGCCACAAAGGGAAAGAAGGAAAGATCATGTGACAAACAATGGGTGCTGGATCATTTGTAGAATAGATAAGTATTACTGAACATCAGTTAGGAGCCACACCCCAATAGGATTTTATAGACATGCTTTCATTTATTATCCACAGCAGTTTAAAGATGTACAGTCCTTATTCTCCCCAATTTCAAGGTAAGGAAACTGAGACTTAAGAGAGATTGTCATTTGGTCACAGTAACAAGGCGGGCAGGTACTGACGCCAAGTTCAGCATGAACCTCTTTCTCTCCACCAGAATCTCAAGCCCCATTCAAGGAAAGACACCTGATTTAAAGGGTAGCTGTGATATGGGTTTGATGTGACACAGATATCTGATGCTTGATCCCAGGAGCAGCCACTGCACTTTCATGTGTAAAGATGAAGTAAAGCTACCCAATTTTACTCCCACAAAATAAGCAAGTCAGTACAATTCCTACAATTCTCCCTCACTATAGAACATTTTGAAAATGCAGACAATTAACAATGTAAAAAGAAAGCAATGGATCCTCTTGAATAACAAGAGGGAGGTGGGGCTCCAGGTAAGCCTTGCTCGCTGCCTGGCTCCCACTCCCTCCCTCGCTCCCGCTCCCGCTCCCTCCCTCGTGGCTCAGGGTGAACTGCAGACGCACTCCTTCTCTCCCATTTATATCTGATCACAGATTTTACAATCAAATATGTAAAATACAATGTTAGAAATGCTACAAATAATTAAGCAGGGTCTTCCAATGTAACTCGACAAGCCCAATCTCATAAGAATGAAAGGATCCTCCGATCAGGAGAGGGCAGAGCAGAACTGGAAACTGGAAACCAGAAAGAAGCATTTTGATCTAGGTAGGAACCTCACAAACCGCACAGAAGCAGGACGCTGGCTGACCAAGGAGAGTGCAAAGGGAGGGAGGGGCTGCCAAAGTGGAAAATCTGTCCAGCTGGGCAGAACAGGCAGCTTGAAGAATCTGGATAGAAATCAGAGAAAAGAACCACTGGATTCCATTCTAATAACTACAAAGAGATCGGGGTTTTCTCTCTGACATTTTTAAATATACTACCAAAAAGTTGAGAGAACTGTACAGTGAATGCCCATAGATCCTCATCCCAGACTCCAAAAGTAACAATTAGCTGTTTTACCACACATCTATCCAGCAATCTCTTACCATTTTTTGATACATTTCAAAGTAAGTTACAGAAATCACTTGCTATGGACTGAATTGTATCCCTGCCCCTCACCCGCTGCCCCCCCCCCCCCCCCCCCCAGCAAATCCATGTATTGAAGCCTCAACTCCCAATGTAATAGTATTTGGAGATGGAACCTTTGGGAAGTAACTGAGTTGAGATGAGGGTGGGGCCATCATTATGGAATTAGTGCCCTTACAAGAAAAGATACCAAGGAACTTCCACCTTTTCTCTTTGCTATGTGACAACACAATGAGAAGACAACTGTTTTCAAGCCAGGGAAGAGCCCACACTAGAACCCAACCATACTGGCACTCAGACTTCCAGCCACCTGAACTGTGAGAAACACATTTCTGTTGCTGAAGCCACCCAGTCTATGGGATTTCATCATGGCAGCCCAAGCTGCCTCATATATCAATATACTACACCCAAAGAGAGGAAAGAAACCTTTAGTCTGGGGTGGGGGAGTCAAATACTAATTCTATAGGTATTTATCAAACATCTTCTGTTCGCTAGGGCAATGCTTCCTAAACTCAATGTGCATAGTCAAAACCTGCTTCGGTAGATTAGGGTGGGGTTCAGGGTTCTGCACTTGCAACAAGCTCCCAGGTGATGCCCACACTGCTGGTCTTCAGACCACATTTTGAGTAGCAAGAATTTAGGTTGAGTCCACCAATGACAGAGAGAAAACATAGATCACAGTGGGAGACAAAATCCTAACAACTAACCTTCATACTTCATACTTGTTGCCTATATGCTCTGGGCTTCATGGGCTGGTCTTACACCAGATCCCAGTCATCCAACGTCTGAATGTGTGTTGGGCAGATGATACCGACTGATGCGGAGGGTCTAGCTATGAACTCTAATTAGATCTGATGCGACACCCAGTTAGGTATCAAAAGAGAGTGACTAAAAGCAGAGGCTCTGCTGCTCTGTGCATCTGTACCCACTTGTGGAAAGGGATCACATGGCCACAACTCACCAAGTTTCCACAGTAAGTTCAGGTAGAAGACTATCACCCAGTTCTTCTGATGCCCACACCTGAGCTTTTCCCACTTCCTGCCACATTCAAGAGGACTCCGCTGTTTAAATTTTGGTGGGGTAGAGTAATAGGAAATACTAGAAAGGCTGATCTAACAGATTATTACCACTAGTACAAGCACCCTACCGCTAGTTCTCACGCACTAAAAACAGTGTAGACAACCGTGCTCAGTGCTTTGCGTGCTGTCTCATTTCATCTTGACAACCCTGGAGGCATTGTAACTGTCCCCAATTTACAGGTGAGGAAACTGAGACCAGGAAAAGCTAAGCAAGTTGGCCAGTCATGTCAGCAGTAAGGTCAAGGCGGGATTTTAAAGATCAACTTCAAAACCAGCCATAGCCACTCTGAATCTCGGTTGCCTCATTGCGCAGACACACAGCATGACGACATTTGGGTGGTTACAATGCCAGGGAGCGCTTGAAACATCTTTGCAGGATATGGATGGAAAGGCACTTGGCAACAGGAGACACACACAGTTACAACCGTTAGTGCCGAGAGGTGTGTTTGTTCATCTTGGGCCGGACTGGTGGGCCCTTTTCTCACCAGCACCTCTGCTTTATCAGGATTGAACCCTCGCCAGCCCACTCAGCCAGACTAAATATTTTCAGGACAGCATTTATTAAATATTTTCTCATAAGGCTAAACTAAGCACATTCTTCCCCAAGGATGTAATGGGTTTTATTCAGCTAAATATAGCTGGCTAACTTATCATTTTCGGCAAGGTACGAATGGACTATTCTGGTTAATCACTGGGTGGAGAAAGGGCCCAGCAAATAATTTACAAACATATATATTTTTTAACATATTTCAAAGGATTCCAAATGAAATCTTACTAAGATATGCTTAATAAGTGTACGAAGGGAGTTAAAAGTGCTCATTATTACAGAGAGAAAAGA